AACGATGCTCACCGGCAGAGTGCGACATGAGCATCCTCAAGGTCACCTTATTCTTTGGCTTCTCCAAAATAGCCTTGCCATCGCTGTCGTATCCTTTCAGCAGAGGAATCTTGGCAATTTCAGGTAGGTATTTCTCAATGTCCGCCTCGTTGTCCAGTGACACAAGCTTTTTGTCAACGAGTTGCAGCGCAGCGAGCTGAGATGGGTCAGGCTACGGGTACCGCCAGGTTCTTGGGGCGTACGCATGTAATGAACTTGGTCTGAGAGAAGATCTCGGTGACTAAGGCATGTCAGGCCCAGCTGACTTTGTATCAACTCACTCGACTCCTCGTCCACCTGTCCCGAGCTGGAGTCGCCAAAGACGACCTCTCCTGCTTGGTTGAAATAGATCGTCTCCTTGGCATTTGTAGCGCCGAAGGAGATCGCAGGGAAGTTTCGGGACTCGACGGTGCCGACGAGGAGCTTGTCGAGCTTCTCCTTGGCACCTGGCTTCAGTGTGGGCAGAAGAAAGCTGGACATCGCAAAGTGGGGGTGACAACACACCTCAGAATGTGGCTTTATATTCACCCCGGGTCGTTCGCATCCGGTCCGGACCGCCGAAGGCGTCGTGGTCAATCCGCCGCATCCACAACGTGGTTCCCAGATTTGGACATTTCCTCACTCCGCAGCAAAGCTTTCTTGCCCGAGCCTTGCCACGGTGATGTCCCCTCTTTGTTGGTAACCAAGACCAAAATTACTGTTAGATATGAATGGAGACAAGGCCGCAATGGCCGCTATTACCGCCAAACTCGTCCACAGCGGTCTCCTCTCAAGTGGTCTCCTCCCATGTGGCGCGATGTAGAAGAAAGGCGGAGACCCTCTGCAAGCTTTGTTGGTAAGTTGGGGGGTGCCTCCCAAATTGCCGGACGGTTGTGACTCACTCAGTTGAGAGCTGAGAGATTCGGAGGTAATCTTCTCCACTTCATGGCGCTCTCAAACCTTCACTAGGTAATACCTTAACCCTCGTCATCGACGCTTCCAGTTTTAGAGCGACGGCAGGATGGGACTCGGGGAACGTGACACTGAGCTGCGTGGAAAGGGATTCATTTGTTCAGGTGGGCCAGCGGTTGGACTGCATGTTTGGGTGCCGTTGGCTAGGTCATGACCGAGCATGTATTTCATTTCGGCGTCAGATCGCAGCGAGGACGCCGGACAGGGAGTTGGTGCTCCGACTGACGCGGATCGTGGTCTCTGACAGCGAACGTCAAACAAATATTCGGCTCATGCTCAGGCGCTCATGACCTGCGCAACAAACTTGGGGACACCACCGATCCGGTGGCGAAATGAGGGGGTTGCACTTGGCTACGGCGAAAGGACTTCGTCGACTTGCACACCCCCCACGGCGATGCACACAGCTTGTCTAGTGCCAAATGCGCACCGTCATGCATGCCGAGCCCATTGAGGGGCACCAAGATCGACCCAACCTCGCCGTCCTCCCCGCCCACAAGTTGGCCAAGACACCTGGGACCGACCTCCACACCCTGTACCCGCTCCCCTCCCTCCCTCACATCACTCCCCGTCCCTCTGCTAAGATCCATATCTACAAGGTGGAAGTAGCGAGGAAGCTAGTCGAGAAAGGGAGACCGGGAACCGCAGCCCGTGTGCTCAGTCCCAACACCGCCGTGGCGGAGGTCAACGTGTCAACGGAGACACGATCCTAGCCCTCCGCCTCCTTCTCCCCACGGACACGAGCTCCCCTTTGACAGTACACAGGGAGCAGAGAAAGGAACCTGCCCAACCGCGCCGCCGCGGGGGCGGGGGTTGTTTTGGGGGAGCAGCTGCTCGAAACGAGACGGGCCAAGATGACGGAGACCTCACTCTTGGAGAACTCCTCCGTGGTGGAGACTTTGTCATCAGTATGAAGTAGATCTCGTAGTAAGATCCATGGTTGTGACAGGGGCGACGCGAGAAGCACCACACGGCCCGGGCAGTTGCGAGCGGGACTTAGATGACTAGGAGATAAAGGCTCTGGGGTTGATCCTACATGACTTTAGGATGTTAACATGCGGCCATCGGTCTGGGTCGCTCAGCAAGTGTCTCAAGTTATCACAAGCGTCCGATGGGAGAATGTAGTCGGGTTGGACTGGAGGCAGTTCTGAGTGTGATATATGAATGCTTGGTAATCAGAGTGCGAGAAGCGTTGTCCATCCTCGAAAATGCAACGGTCTTGATTGGCCGATCCGTGGAGAAACCTTCGACGAGAATGACATACATACTGCACCACTATGGACGAAAGAACCGAGTGTATCCGACCGCAAACAGCTTCAAGGACTACATTAGCGCCAGTCGCATACCGACAATCCTAAAGAAAACCAAATGCAATCGAGAGGATTGAAAGAGACCGAGGTCTTACCTGGAACCCATCCTGCACTCATCGAGCGGAAATTACTTCCCGTGCCACGATAAATCGAGGTTACTCCATCCCCAGCAGGTTGACAGTCGAGTAGACAAACAGGAGCGGGGAGATCATCCGATTACCAAAGAGATGCATCAGCTACATAGTGAAAGGCCTGCTGAACGACGCGCACAATTGGATCCCAGAACGGTTCTGAGATCCAGTCAGAACATGCTCTTATCCTAGAACCGGTGAATCTCAGCGAGCTTGTATGGTGATATTCCCACCTCGGTCACCATACAGTCGTTGTCTTCGTCCAGCGTGATGTTCGAATCTGGCCTGTCGATCATCCAAGTGTTGAATCCCCTGCCAAACGAATTGGCGACTCCGTTGGCCGTGGAACCCGGTGAACGCGCGCGGCGTGCGGACACCGGATCTTCCGGCATGTCCGGTCCGCAACCTCGTCTGTGTGCCGCTATATCCTCTTCACCTCGTCACGATTCACCGCTCTTCGGCCATTCATCCCCAGACCTATCCTCACATCCACGCAGATACCCTTGCGCCAGACCAGCTATTCGTGCAAGATGCTCGCTCCGACCGTCAAGCTCAACGACGGCACCTCAATGCCCAGTCTCAGCTTCGGCACAGGTTTGTCGCGAACCTCTACCCCATTACTGCGCACCTTCGCTTGCGGTAGAACGCTGATGGATCTACTTAAGGGACTGCGGTGAAAATTGGGGGCGAGTGCACCGAATTGGTGCTTGAGGCGCTCAAGATTGGGTACACGTGTATCGACACGGCGCAGCAGTATGGCACTGCCGGCTCGGTCGGCGAGGCGCTCAAGCGTTGGGGGGGAAGGCGCGAGGAGGTTTACATAGTTACCAAGTGTGCGTGAGACCACACCGAGGCCGCGGTTGCTGTTGTCTGCGCCTTCCCTGGTATTAGCCCTTCGTGCTGACGGTGTTCAGTCGGGAGGGACGGCGCGCAGCCAGAGGCTATCGAGCCAAGGAAGGTCCTCCAGGAGCAGCTCAAGCTGGTGCGCTGACTCACCTGATCGCTCACTCCCGGACGCTACAGTGCTGACACGCCAGCTCGGAGTGGACTATGTCGACATGTGTGAGTTGCGCATTTCCACTCCTGCCATCGCCGCTGACTCATCCTCAGACCTCGTGCACAGCCCTTTCGTGCGTCGTCCCTCGCGCTCCCTTTGGTCCACAGCTGACGCTGGGCGCAGTACACTGGGGAGCTCTCGCTCGTCGAGAACTGGAAGGTCATGGAGCAGCTCCGTGCTGAGGGCCTGTGCAAGTCGATCGGGGTGAGCAACTATCGCGAGGAGGACCTCTTGGCGATCAAGGATGTCTGGTCCGTTCCCCCGGCTGTCAACCAGGTGCGCCCACGCACGCCGGCTTAGCCGCGTGTCCTGTCCTGTGTCATGCTGAGGTATATGTGTAGATCGAATTCAACCCGTATATCGCCCATGCGCCTAACATGCAGCGCCTCCTCAAGCTCTGCAAGGATCTCGATATCAAGGTCGAGGCTTACGGCCCGCTGAACAGCGTGTTCCGCTCGACGGGCGGTCCGCTGGACCCCGTCGTCGACAAGATCGCAAAGGCCAAGGGCGCCACGCCGCCCCAGATTCTCCTCCGCTGGGCCTTGCAGTACTCCGGCGGTATTGCGGTGACGTGAGTAGACGAATGAACCCACGAGGAGAAGCGAATACTGCTGACGCGTGGTAAGGACGTCGCGTAACTCTGAGCGCCAGAATGAGCAGCTCGCTGGTGTCAGCACGGTGCCGGCGCTGACGGAGGACGAGGTCGAGGAGATCGCCGAGGCGGGTAAGGGACGGTTTTACAGGCACTTTCAGACAAAGGTGTGGGACAGTGCTATGCCCTGAGGTTGTGGCCTCCGCGCCGCGACCGTGGTGGGGCCGTAGAGAGGACTGTGTCTCTTGAACAGTGCTGCCGGTGCCGAACTCGGACGCGACGAAATATGCAACCGGAGAGCCCCCTGCGCCGTGTCAAAACACCTCCGCGCCAAACGCGCGGTTCGGACATCTTTGGCTACAGCGGAAGGGGTCCAGATCCATCTGGAACCGTTTGGAACCAGGACACTGTGCAGTGACGCCATCAGGTGCATCCGCTTGTACCGCCCGTCAAGCGAAGACCTTGAAATCGGCCATTGTCCCCGTGACCGGGGGTGACTCGATGGCCGAAAGAACCGCTCAACTGGCTAACAAACACCTCAACACAGTGGAAACGGAGAAACGCCGCCGGTACCCCTCCTTGGTCCGCACTTTAAGACTATTGGTGCTCCCGCTTGGATGCTATGAGGCCTAATCGACAGAACCAGAAAAGGTAGGCTAGAGCTTCATAGCACTGTCGGACTTGCGAGCTAGCCCCCGAGTTCTGTCAAAACGAAGCTGGTACTTTTCGTGTCCCCTGTTTTTCCAAGTCATTTTGGTGTAGGTGTTGTTTCTCTGGACTGCACCTGCACCTGCGAATTGTGTTCTGGTCGAGACCAACCTTCTCATGATCGGGACATGATAATGTATGCATAGGAAAAGGGGGGTGAGTGGAGGCAGTGAGGTAAGGTCTGCACAGAGGCCATCGCGCTGACTGTCTGTTTAGACCTGATTAGCCGCGGCCGGATTGACGTCGAGGGCTACCTCCTCCTGGAGAGCGTGAGGACCAGCGCCGATATGCGGGTTCTCCCCCGGGTGTACCTTCTCGGAAGGGGTCTTGCCCGTCATGTCGAGACCCATGCCGGCAGCGAAGGTCGAGTGTGGTTTCCAGCCAGCGGACTTGATGGGGTTTCTGACCTCCTCCATCATACGGTCAACTTGCTCGAGGGTGAGGCCCTTGGTCTCCCAGACGAGGAAGTAGGCGTAGAAGAAGCAGAGTATACAGGTCGAGCCCCAGACGAAGAAGACTCGTGAGCCGAGGTTGCCCTCGTCGGTCGACACCATGTAGGGGGTGATAACGGTGATAATGCAGTTCCAGAGCCAGTTGGAGGCAGTGGATAGGGCGACGCCACGCGAACGAATGGGGAGAGGGAAGATCTCTCCGATACTGACCCAGGCGCCCGGACCCCAAGTCGACGCGAAGAAGAAGATGTATATGCAGATGAGGGAGATCTGGGCCTTGACCGCCGACGGGTCAGAGCCCTTGGTGACGCCGATGATGGCACAGATGAACTCGCAGATGAGCATGCCAAGGGCACCCCAGATGAGGAGAGGACGACGACCGAATCGCTCAATGGTCCAAAATGAGAGCGGAGTAGAGCAGACATTCACGAGTGTCGTGATGAGTGACATGAGAAAGGGATTGGAGATGCTGCCCAGGGATTGCTAAGGGCAAACATCAGCTGGCTGTCCCGGAAGACAGGCACAACATCTTAGCGGGGTGCCGTTCCAACTCACGAAGAATGTAGTGCCGAAGTAGAAGATGAAGTTCACACCTGTCCACTGCTGCATCATCTGGAGCGAGGTACCGAGGATAGTGCGTCGGAGGTTAGAGCCTGGGTTACGGAGACCGCCTGTGAAACAGGCGAGCCAAGAATTGAAGTAGTTGGTGGTGGGGATCATCTCCTGCTCGTACTCATTGTTGGCCAGGATCTCCGCCAGTTCCTCCTGGATGTAGATCGAGTCCCCGGGCTGACCACGGATGCGAGAGAGGGAGCGGGTAGCGGCATCGACGCGCCCCTTCTTGACGTACCAACGAGGGGACTCGGGGAGAAAGGCGAGACCGGTACCGAGGACAAGGGCCCAGAGGAACTGAACGGCGATGGGGATGCGGTAAGAGCCAGAGTCGGACCTGTTCTCCGTGGCGTAGCAGACACACGAAGCCAGGAGCAGACCTTGAACAGGATGGTCAGCCGGGGCATCTCGTGCCTCATGCCAGAGAATGACTATTGACGCACCGATGGTGACACAGAACTGGTAACCTGAGACAATGGCACCGCGGACCTTGCGGGGGGCGACCTCGGACATGTAGAGAATGATGATGGCCGAAATGAAACCGACGCCGAAGCCCGAGATCAGACGACCGGCGACGATGAGGCCGAGACCAGTCGAAGAGGCCACCTGAAGAATGCAGCCGACAGTGAATACGATGCAGCCTGAGATGATAGTGATACGGCGACCAAAGTAGTCGGCGAGGTCACCGGCGATAATTGCGCCGAAGAAGGTACCGGCGGAAAGGACCGAGGTGATCAGAGACTTTTGCCAAGCCTGGAGGGCAAAGGCGGCGGTCTCGGCGGCAGTGGCGTTGGCTCCAGGTATGGGGAGGCCAGTGTGGAGGCTGATGAAGCTGAAAGGGGCATTAGCAACTGCATCGCGCGTTGCTCAAAGTCCAGAAGTTGGGGGCGCCCAAGCAGAGGCGGAAGTGATATTTGACGAGGATTCTTACGAAGACTCACTAGTTCATGCCGAGCACACCGTTCATGTAACCCGAGTCATAACCAAAGAAGATACCGCCAAAGGATGCGAACACACAGAGCAGGTAGGCCTTGATTGTGACGGGCGCCTCAACCCTCTCTGGGTTGAAGGTGGTAGTGACGACAGCGCCGCCGGGCACTAGGGGCGCGCAGGTAAGTACCCAAGTATACAAGGGGATTGATTCCACGACGGGTGACTCTGTGGCTGGCCAAGAGACCTGAGTTTACTCACTGTTGGTGTATTGTTTGCAGGCGTCGGAGTGGCGGAAGATAGCTGGGATGACTAGGTGCCTGATCAGCCTCGATCCGAAAAGACCGGGCAAGGCAGTTCGCTGTTTTCGACTACTCACTTTAAAAAAGAGTTGAGATCGGGTTGACGATGGGGGGATGCGCGGCTAGTCGTGGAAGGTTTTATATGCCATTTCCCCTCTCTTGAAGGGAAATGGAGCTCACACGAGCAAGGGAGGCAACGGTTCGTCGGACCGGGGGAGGAATCTATTTGTGGGATGGGCCTAATCGGGACACGCGGGGGTCCTGGGTCGAGTGTGGCTCCAGGATGTGTGAACCCTTCTCGCCCCCTGCCTCTATCCCGTTGGTCGTGACAACGCGATCCCTCCCAAAGTCCTCTCGGCTTCGTTGCTGCTAGCTCGGCAGCGACGCTAACCGAAGTGTAATGCTCGGTTCGAAGCAGACAAAAAGGCCACATGTCTGTATAGAAGGAGGGGGGCGGTGGGTGATCCAGCCCAAATCCAAGCCCTGGGAGTGGTCGAAAGGGGTACCGCGCAAACCGAAACCCACCACTTGTTTCGAAGGGTACTTCCATGTCCCCAGAGTCCCTACCGACGTGCGGCAGGAAAACAAGCCCTCCGGGAAACCGAAAGAAGCCTGAAAACCCAATAACAGACGGACCGCCTCGCTCTGAGACAACGTAAAACTTCATCGCTCACGCACACAAGCACCCACCGGGCCAGCGCGGTGCCCGTGACGACCGGCGCAAAGCACTCGTATGCACGCATGAACAGACTCCGCAAATCTCGCATCGGACGTTCCCGGAGTCAACACTCCCGATCTCTTCAACATTCTTCCCGGGGGCTGAGGCGAGAAGACGTACTGGAAACGGATACCTCCCCGCCTTACCCGCTGCTCGCTTTCATCAGATCCATGCTCGCACCACGACTCAGCGCCCATGAGTCTTACATTCATGCAGTCTCATCAACATTCAGGAAAAACGCCACATTCGGGACTATATCCGACCAGGCGCAGCTCGCCGTGCCTAGGCAGGCCCACGTTGGCCAACACAAACAAATCCGTTCGTCATCCGCTGGAGTCTGCTGGACTGACCAACTCTCAGATCCCACCCGCAGAAAAAACAGCTTGAAATCGGGTGCCCAGTCTAAACTCCGCCGCTGTCGCCGAATGAGCAGATCACTTTGTCATAAAGTCTGACATTCGTCAAGCCGCAGTCATGTTGTCTTGTTCGAGCCTCGCCTTGGCGACGTGTGCTCTTTCGCTGGTGAGGATGAGCAATAGCCGGTTTGTATCCCAAGGGAGGCAAGCGGCAAATAGAACCGCCAGACTGGTCCAAAACGGTGAACCCTCAAATGGTGCGATGGGAGGAGGAAACCCCAGACGCTATATCGAGGCGTGAAATGAGGTGCGCACAAGGGGCGTACTTCCTTATTGTCAGACGGCTCTGCCACTGTCAGTGGTGGGCTAAGATTTAACTGGTTGGGGAGGACTGTATACGACTAAGCGAGTACATTAGAGCTTCATAGGGCTGGCAGGCCTCTCGCTGCGGGATCTCGCAACCTGCATCATCGATGGACATTCCACTTTCAAAGCGACGGTGTTTTGGGACGTAGGGAACCTGCTACTGTACCGCGTGGAGGGTGTTCCCATCTGCCTAAGTGTACCGGCGATCTCGGGTCTCACAGCATATGTTTGGGTGAAGCGGTCGTGTGGAGTTTTGTCTATGTTATGTTCGAACGACGCGTCTCACGCGCAGGAATCTCAGTTTTGGGGAAAAGTGAACCTCGCGAGTACTATCCGTTCCCCGACACGTCTCGGAAAGTATGGCTATAATTGGCCAGGGGCCGCCGGTTGCAGCCGATGACTGGAGGCGCATGGGAGGACTTTGACTGGCGGGGGAATGCATTCCCGCACCGAACTCGACTGCTGTACAGTTCGAACCCCGGTTATGCTCCCTGCGCCCTCGGTCGGCTTGTAGCAAGTTCCGTAAGGTAGTGTACAACCTCGCATCTACCGCCCACTGTCATGAAACACCTCCGCACGGTGTGTGATGCGGTAATGGATGCCACCGGGTCCTGGCTCGAGCCTGTTGACAGCCCCGACAACTTCGGTTGGTTGCAATGCTCGGTCTGGTAACACTGTTTGGCGTGTCCTGAAATAAACCGTCAATCAGGCAACAAAGCGGGAGAACCTCACTCTACTCAACGCCCTGACGGACATGACGCTTTCCGACCAATGTCCACAAAGGGACGGACTGGGAAGAACTCGTCCGAAGTTCCTCGACGATAAGTTGGCGAAAAACTTCAAACACCGTTCTCGTCTTCCGAAAGGCGGACTCTCTAATTACCTTGTCCCGAAAAGTCCCATAATAATTCACCCCACTGGGGTCCACAGCATGTACATATTCGGTGGGCACGACCAGCATCGAGCAATCCCCCCTTTGCGCCGTTCACCTGTTCAACATTCCAGTACTAATCGCAGCGCCATGCGGGTCGGCCTCATACTTGGTTCAGTTCGCCATTCCTCCAACTCACCCGGAATTCTCAAGTTCCTCGAATCGCTGGTGCGGCAACACCGCGCCAACATCGATCTCGATGTGATACACCTTCTTCACTCTCCAAATCACCCTCTCCCGTATGCAATAGAGGACGTGGCCCCGGCGGCACACGACCGGGCCACCTTGCCTGACGGTTATGCCGACCCGAAAGTCCGAGCATGGTCGGCTACGGTAATGAAATGGGACGCCGTGCTCGTTGTGAGCCCCGAATACAACTGGGGTATTCCCGGGATTCTCAAGAACACATTCGACCATCTGTACGGAGAATGGGTTGGCAAACCTGCTGGTATCATCACCTTCGGATCCCGTGGAGGGAGTAATTGTGCCGAGGCTCTCAAGACGGTTTTAGGGAAAGGGCTGAGGATGAGCGTGGTGGACAAGAATGTGATGATCAGTCTGCCGGTGGAGTATATCATGACACAGAAGAGGCTGCAAGGGGACGAGGAAGTGGTGACGGAGCACGAGGGTGAGATCGTGGAGCTTGTTGAGGAGCTGGTCAAAAGGCACCAGATACCCCAGGAAGTGCCGGCTTAGCGCTGCTGGTCTTGTAAGTCATCTGATGTCCTGGCCGGCGACTCATCTTCTTCAGTGTTGCACAACCTTTCATCTCAAATCGGTATCGAACAGGACTTGACTTGGCAGCTTGTCATCATCAGATGCTATCAAATTTATTAGCGGAAAGAGAACGATCTGTGTGCCCAAGTTAGAGGTTACGCAGTCGTGCTGGTATTTTCTCGTGCAACGTTACAGACAGCTGGGAAACGAACTGTCGCAAACTCCGTCTCGACCTTGGAGCGTGTCCTGGTCAAGCTCCATCACTTCGAGGTGAAGATATAGCGCCACGACTTCCCACTTTCTGATCCGTATTCGGACTGGAGAACCATGAGTAAGGCAACATCATCGCGTGCCTGGTAGCAACAGATTCCCAGAGTACCATGGTTCCAATCGTTGCTGCCCAACACCACGCTCGCCGACACCGCAGCCTCCATTGCCCAAAGATTCCTTTCAGCAGTAACCTGTTTACCAAAGAGGTCACTCGGGCTTAACAATCGTTGCCGTGTCTGTTGCGGTTCTAAGTTGAGCCAACCAAACGTTGGTCAATATCGTGAAACCGATGCAGACTCTAACACCTCTCATTGGGCGCTGCCATGCACAGCGTCGAGTGATCTCTAAATATTGTATGGCAGCTGCAGGCTAGTAAGCAAGAACATGTCCATTCAATCAGCAAGCGGATGGATCGAACGAATCGATCAAACCAAGCGCCAGTTCCTTTCACTCGCAGTTGTGTGGAGGTGCCTTGCCTCCACACCGTTCGCCCTCCACACCGGACAGCTCGGCTGTTCAAGAGTTTGAAGATTTGCCTCGCCCAATCTGTCTCGTCCGTGGTTGACTCCAAGTCCATCTGATTCTGAGGGCTGGAGAAGGAGCTTTATAATCAAGCGCAGGTGATGCATTTTCTTGACCTGAATCGTGGCGTGCTGTTGTGCTGTTCTCGACAGAGGTGGGCACCGTCTGAACCCCCGACCTCCAAGTTTCCAGTGAAGACTGCTCAACGTGAGTCGGATCCCGCCGGTGGAGAACTGAAAGACATTGGCTATCCTCCAAACTGCGAGTACCCAGACCGTGAAATGCCACGTAGACGTATTCCAAAGAGGGTTCCGGTTCGTCCGAACGTTCGTGTGCAGACGGCTATAGACGCTGTTGCAGAAATCCACACGGTCTTTTGAGACAGGTACCTGGCGCTTTATACCCCCAGGTTCCTTCAACGGCCCGATGCGCCGCCTTGCCCTACCATAGCACAAGTCCCGGCGGCACAGCCGAGATTTTTTTCGCTCTAGAATAGTTCCCGCCCTGCTTTGGCCGCCGGTCCACACCCTTGACACGACAGAGTAGGTAGCATAACCAGGTTATACAGCATCATACCATTCCGTTGACATGAGCGTCCTCTCATGCTAGCGAGGAACGTACCAGGGTGGAATGCACGGCCCCAATCCGACCTTCGCCACATGCAAGTGGGGGGGGGGTTGAGGCTTTTCCTGTCATTAGGGGATCTGTGCCCTACTGGTATTTGATACAGAAGTTGACCCCGGTTCTTGGCGAACGCGGACCCATGGGAGCTGTCAGGAGGTAGCCCGCCTGGGAGGCCCCTGCAGCCTCCACTGGCCCCTGTCGGCTCCGGGTGAGTGCTCCGGATGCGAGTACTACTCCACATAGCACAGCTCCGTGAATTGCCAAAGTACATTCGGCGGCCTTGGGACACCGCTTCTGCTACTACATAAGTAGGCGGCACAACCGACTTCGTTTTGAAACCAATCACTCCTCCCTTCTCATCCTCACCGTCATGTCAGCCCAGGTAAACGACGTGAGTAGGCTTCAGCGTGTTGTGTCTCATATCTGGCTGATAGGTTAGCAGCAAGTCTCCGAGCACATACACTCGCAAGTGCCCGAGGACAATCTCGAGAATGATA